GAAATGCATGCAAAGTGTTTTCCATGTATTAAATGGACCCGGTACACCAGTGCAGTCAGTTCCAGGTTTTGCGTGAAGGAAAAAAATGGTAGAACGTGCCGCATTATGCTCATGATGGGATCCATAGTGAATACAACCAGAAAAGACAGATCATCTCAACACATACTGCTCTCTCTGCTTCTGCTCTCTCTATTTTTCTCTGAAATTGTTAATTATTTACTGTTTTTCAGTGCATTCTGGGCATTTGGGAAGGTCTCCTGAGGTTATCTTTAAAAAACACTCATAAACGCAGTATGCAAACGGGGCTAAACTGACATTTTTTAACCTACGTTTTCCAGCAGTCAAGTTTCCATCGTTCAGAATCATTTCCAAACGTCCCGTGTACATGGAGCCTAAATTGTCATTTGTTAGAAAACCTTTTTGTCTAATGTGTGCCTTGAAAGTCCCACCAACAAGAGGGCTTCCCCACTGTGTTGCAAACCTAGATATTACTTTGTAAAAGTAGCGATGACATAATCACTGTGCTGTACATAGCCCTGTGCAGAGAGCAGAGCTGTAGGAGGGGCCCAACAGACCTCGCCCTCTACAGGCTGCCTGCAGAAAATTTCAGGAGTGGGCAGAGACAAGACCAGTCACCCAGCACAAGGAGAGAGAGCAGCAGCAGTGACTGGTCTTTATTACAGGAAGCTCCTGCACAGAGGGAAAGCCTCACACTGGTTTTGGCAGCAAAAAGGCCTGATGCGTATAAACACATCTAAACGCACTTCAGCTCTAGCCGCGTCAAGTCATTGAGCGTTCATTCATTTCAGTGGCCAGAATGAATTAGTATTCAGGACAATGAAATGAAACAATACCTAAGCGCACCTAAACTTTGTTTTTTCAAAAATGCCGCTTTAGGCACTCTTGACGCTGCTTTTCTCCTGCCAAGAGAGAGGCATTTAGAAGAGCTGGGCAAACGCCCCGTGTGAGGCCTCTGCAAGTCAAAACGCGTTAGTTTTCTGCTGATTTTTATGAAATATACTCTGTGGATTATGTCTGGACTCCAGCGTTCAATGTTTGCTGCTGTTACCGATGCCTGTTTCTTCCTGTCATCCTGACAACCGCTCCATCATTTCTCATACGGATATCACAGGGACAGGAAGTGAGAGAAAATCTCCCCAGTAGGACCACAAACTTTGTAATACTATTCTACTTAAAACTAGAACCAAAAACAAAATGTTTTTGAAGCTAAAGTTATGCAGGCCATAGACGGGTCGAAAATCTGCCAATTTTTCGGGCGAAAAAAAATCGGCCGATGTTAGTGGGTTAATTGGTCGGCCGTTTTTTCGGGGTTTTGCACACTTTTTTTATCGGAAAAGTTGGAAAAAAATCGTCCGATTTTGCCGATCAGCCTATTTTCCCGGCAATGATGGGCAAATCGGCCGATCGTTTTACCGATAAAAAATCTGTCCATGAGCCGTGACCTGCAAGAAGAAGAAAAAGAAGAAGACGAAAAAGAAGAAGAAAAAGAAGAATTCCAGTCCGCTATTATATTTGACATGAAAAGTCTTGCGGTTGCAACAATGTATCTATTTGTATCTGAATAAAAACATCTGTATCTGAAATGGATACAAATAGATACATTGTTGCAACTGCAAGACTTTTCATGTCAAATATAATAGCGGAGCTCTCTGCAGGGACAGAAGTAATTAAATGCCGGCCGTAGATGGGACGAAAATGGGCCGATTTTTTTTTACCGTGGGTGGTAACATCAGCCTATTGAACAACCGATTTGCCGTGTTTTTTTTTTTTTTTTTCAAACGGCCGGTTTTCTATGGCCTGCATTAGGCTTTAACAGTGGACAGTGCAGTCTGGAGCCAGTCTGTGAGCTTGGAGAAGGGAGGAGGTGGAGCAGGGGAGTTCCTTGCCATCATAGGCTATGGGGCTGTGTGTTTCTATTGATGCACACAGTGTAGGGAGACACAAAGCTTATCCTCTACATGCATGGTAACCTGGGGCAGAGCTTAAACTGGAACATAGTGCGTTTTTCTGTGCGGGTGGTTGCGTCTGCGGGAACAAGTGCTGTCTCCAGCAATCACCCGCACAGGTGTGAACCTAGCCTTAAGCCGGCCACACACAGGTCGAATTCCAAAAGAATTTTCTTTCGAAAATCTTTTCTAAGAATTTTCGTTCAAATTTCGCACCATTAGTGGGTCACAGCGACGACCGATTTTCATAGTTCACATTTCCAGTGTGTTCTGGTTGCAGAAAAAAAAGTAGAACAGGCTGCATTTTTCCTGTACAGAACTGTACAGGTAAAACGCACAAAAAACGCACTGGAACGCACCAAAACGAACCACAAACGCACACGTCCCTATTTGAATTGAAGAAAAAGAGAGGGGAAAAAATGAACTGGAATGCATAAAAAAAAACGCACCGGAACGTGTCAAAAATGCATCTGGACTGTGTTTCTATAGTGTGAACTGGCCCTCAAGGGGTGTACAATCTAGGGTCCCTAACTCACATGCCAGTTTATACAGGAGCCAATTAATCTGCCAGCATGTCTTTGGAGTGGGGGAGGAAACCGGAGTACCTGGAGGAGACCCACACAGGCACAGGGAGACCATGCAAACTCCAGGCAGGTGGTGCGGTGGTTGGGATTCAAACCAATGACCCTAGTACTGCCAGGCGGAAGTGCTAACCACTTAGCCGCTGTGCTGCTCACATATAATCTACTGTCCATGCATTTTTTATGCAGAAAAAAAAACGCACTGGACTGCATCTGAGATGAACTGTGGGCTGCACAGTGGAAAAATATTTAGCGCTCCTGCATGGCAGTACTAGAGTCATTGGTTCAAATCCCAACCACGGCACCACCTGCCTGGAGTTTGCATGTTCTCCTTGTGCCTGCGTGGGTTTCCTCCAGGTACTCCAGTTTCCTCCCACACTCCAAAGACATGCTGTTAGGGTAATTGGCTCCTGTCTAAATTGGCCCTAGTATATGTATGAATGTGAGTTAGGGACCTTAGATTGTACACCTCTTGAGGGTTAGGGACTGATGTGAATGTACAATATATATGTAAAGTGCTGCGTACATTGAAGGTGCTATATAAGTACCTGAAATAAATAAAAAAAATAAGAATAAACTGTCCCTAACAGATAAAGATTGCACATACTCAGTGATAAAATCAGCACTTAGGAAACCGGGGTTTGATGTCACTTTAAGGCGAGTCGATTGGAGATTTTCCAATACGTTCCAACAGATCAGCACAGGGGCGGACTGACCATTCATGCACTCAGGGTCAGTAAGGGGCCCCATGAGATGCCCCTAGTACCTTTCATAGGCTTTTTTGGGTGTGGGTGAGGACACAGGGGCCCCATGATCCCCTTTTGCCCGGGGGCCCCATGAGATCTCAGTCCGTCCCTGGATCAGCAGCAATGTGGGGGACAAGCTCCTTTAGCACCCAGAAGTGAAAAGGTCAAAGTGCGCCCCCTATGAACTCCTTCAGATCCTGCGCCCCCTCTTGCGGGTGTCTCTTCTGCCCATCCCCGTGCCCAGTGTGAATTTTTCACTTTTGTATGGAGTTGTGTGTTTTGCTCCCAGAACAATAGACTTTTGTTGATGTGTTCATTCCTGTGTCTCCTCCCGGAAGAATGCTCTTTATGTGTCTGTTGGGCTCCTTGGCATTAAAACACTTGTCAGTAGCCTAAGGGTTAAGCGATGTGGAGTAACCCTCTTATGTAATGAGACCTCCGCCCTCCACTGTAATCCACTTCCAGGACTTCTAGCCCCTGCTGCTGTCCGCAGGGAGGTGTGTGCTGCAGTCTGTAGACTGAGTGTTGTGTGCACGCCTCTCCCTGTTAGCACTTTGCCAGTTAAGTCCCAGTCACTGCACACCAGAGGACTTTATTACAACCCTGTCCTGAGAAGGTACCACGGAGAACCCCCCCCATCTGACTTATGCCCTCCAGAAGCCGGGGTACCCTGCGGGTCCCAAGGAAGTCCAGCATGCATTTCTCCTTCAGCGAGGAGGACATCAAGAAGCATCGGCTGGTCAAGTCTGTTAGGTTAGTCCTTTGCTGTCTTGGTGTAGCGCCAACATGATCTGTAGCGTCGTGCTAAACCTTCATGAAAGGACTCTCTGACGTGGGTTTGAGCAAAGATGAAATCCCTTACGGTTGAATTAGTCTTTGGGTCTGTACCTGTTGAGGAACGTCAAGCCTGGAACTACAACTCCAAGCATGTCTAGCCAGTTGTCGTTCCTCAAATAGCCACAGAGGTCTTTCATTTCTTCTTTGCTGTACATCCAGGGGCACACATGTCATCCTAAAATCTGAATCCGATGCCTCCAAAAGTTGCCCAAAGTTCTCAATAATGTTGGGTAATAAAGCGAAAGAGAACTGAAGGAAGTCCAGCATGCATTTCTCCTTCAGCGAGGAGGACATCAAGAAGCATCGGCTGGTCAAGTCTGTTAGGTTAGTCCTTTGCTGTCTTGGTGTAGCGCCGACATGATCTGTAGCGTCGTGCTAAACCTTCGTGAAAGGACTCTCTGATGTGGGTTTGAGCAAAGATGAAATCCCTTACGGCTGAATCAGTCTTTGGGTCTGTACCTGTTGAGGAACGTCAAGCCTGGAACTACAATTCCAAGCATGCCTAGCCAGTTGTCATTCCTCAATAGCCACCGAGGTCTTTCTTTTCTTCTTTGCTGTACATCCAGGGGCGCTCACATCATCCTAAAATCTGAATCCGTTGCCTCCAAAAATTGCCAAAGTTCTCAATAATGTTGGGTAATAAAGCGAAAGAGAACTGACTTCTGATTGGTTGGCTTGACGTACTTTTTTAAATTCAATCGTATTTACGGAAATATCTAAGGTTAGGTTCACACTTGTGTGTTTACATTTTTCATGCGCTCCCGTTGAAGTCAATGGGACCAAAAAGGCACCAAAGGAAGCGCTTGCACCTTTTTTTTTTTCAAGTTGCACGGAAGCGCATTGAATAGGTGTTGAAGTGTTACTACACCCAGGACCCTGCATTCACTCTATCTGGTAGACACTGATTTAAACCACTCTATTGCCTCATCCATATATAACAAATGTATATCAAGAAAACACAAAATGTAGGACTTTACTGGTATTAAAGGGGAACCCACACATTTATATAAAAGTACTACTTTTATTTGTACACCAGAACATTAAAAGTATAAAATTGCTCAATATAAATTCCAGTGCTTCCTACTGCTGACTCACTCTAGCACATAATAGCAATAATATATATGTCAAAACATTAATAGTGTGTTATCTACAGCAGTCATCATGGTGGTGGTGAGTCCTCAGGCAACGCATTTCTGTTGCACTTCCTCAGGACACATGAGACTACAGCAGTGGTTACTTAGTTGAGCGTGTATCCACAACATGGGTAGTCCCCTTGGGCGGGCGCTGGAGCACGTCCGGTAATTGGCAACTGGTCAATCGCAGTAAATCTTGCTCTGTTGGATTACAGTCAATGGTGAAGCCCACTTGTTCATAACTGGATATATACTGCTGGAAATAGTAGTTGGCATGCAAGTCTACACCGCCGTTAGATAAGATGCGGTCCCTCCTATGACATACATTTCCAATAGTTGGGCACATCTTGGAAAGGGACAGCATGGCAGCCCTCCATCCATCTGGCCTTCAAAGTTGTTAAGGAATGTCATAGAAATTAGCGTTCAAGAGCGACATAATCCATATAGTATAACCAGCTGGGACCAAGAGTGCCAGATGTGTGTGTTTATACAGATGTGTGTGGTTTTCTGGATTCACTATATCTGGTCTCCCACAGTACACAGAACATGGAAATGCAATTATTTTATTAAATATAAACTGCTCAATACCTTTTCTCATCAGCTGTATATAGCAGTCTTGTGACGTCTACCAATGTCCAGCAGAGCACAGGTTAAGGCTTGTAGGAGGAGTTTTCAATCTCCTCTGACTGTCCTATGAGGCTGTATGACCTCTGACCCTCTGTCTAAGGAGTACTGATTGGCCCTGTGCTGATCACATGCACCCTGCCAAAAATAAAAATTGTCTACCAATGCACACTAAACTAGGCATGTGCACAGTGACTCCTGAAGCTCTGTACTGTCAGCAGATGGATTGGGGACAGTAGAAGAAGGGGGGATCAGAGAAGACAGGATCAAACAGTCATTTACGCATTGCAGAGGGTTAACCCCTTATGTTCCACAGTGAGTATTCCAAGCATATTTTACTGCATATACAGACTGATTTGTCTGATTGGCCCTGTGCTGATCACATGCACCCTGCCAAAAATAAAAACTCTCTACCAATACACACTAAACTGGGCATGTGCACCGTGACTCCTGAAGCTCTGTACTGTCAGCAGATGGATTGGGGACAGTAGAAGAAGGGGGAGATCAGAGAAGACAGGATCAAACAGCCTTTTTATACATTGGAGAGGGCTAACCCCTTATGTTCCACAGTGAGTATAACAAGCATGGTTTACTGCATATACAGACTGATTGTACTGTTGGGGGTTTAGTAACACTTTAACCTAATTAGCTGCAAAATGTTCTCACATTTCCTTGTTGATGCCACTTACTTTGCCAGCTTTTTGTTGCTCTGTCCCTACATTTTTTGAGATGTGTTGCTACCATCAATTTCAAAATGTACTTAATTTTTCCCTAAAATGGTACATTTTCTCAATTTTTAAACATTTGATATGTTTTCTATGGTGAATAAAATCTGAGTTTTTGAGATTTGGCAGCACAGAGTTAAGTGGTTAGCCCTTTTTGCCTGGCAGCACTGGGGTCATTGGTTTGAATCCCAACCTTGGCACTACCTGCAGGGAGTTTGCATGTTCTCCCTGTGCCTGCGTGGGTTTTCTCCGGATACTCCGGTTTCCTCCGGATACTCCGGTTTCCTCCCACACTCCAAAGACTTGCTGGTAGGTTAATTGGCTCCTGTCTAAGTTGGCCCTAGTATGTATGTGTATGAATGTGAGATAGGCTGGCCATACATTATACAATTTTCCTGAGAATTTTGCTTTAGATTTACCAAAAAACCGTATAATAGGAGGTCAAACCTAACATCTCTTTCAATTGTATCCAATTAGGCAGACGCTTGCACTACATAGTTGAAGGTAAATCTAAAGGAAATGTGAGTTAGGGACCTTAGGAAATCACATTTCTAAATGAATGTGAGTTAGGGACCTTAGATTGTACGTCCCTTGAGGGTTAGGGACTGATGTGAATGTACAATATATATGTAAAGCGCTGCGTAAATTGACGGCTCTGTAATCTGTAATAAATTTGCATTCACCTTTTATGTAGATTTTACACAGCGCCCCAACTTTTGGAATATTTCCTAAAAGCCTCAGAATTGTAAAAACTGAAGAAAGGAAAGGCAAAGCTGTCCATTAAAACCAATCAGAAATATACTTTATGTTGTGGCAGCTGGAAGCTGATTTCTGATTGGCTGCCCCTTCTTATGATGGTCTTTTGGACTCTCCTCTTTAGTAAGCTCATTTATTGTACAGAGCCGTGTCACTGGCTGCCGAAGTGTCTCCTACCAGACAAGCTGATTGGTAGTAAAGTTCTGGAATGTACACAGACCAGAGAGACGTTGGCCAGTTCTGTACTTGTGGTCTGGACTGTAACAGCAGGTGGGATAGGAACAGACTGGGTGGAACTGGTGTCTCCACTCTAATGATATGTTTCCAGTTCTAGAGAGCAGGGCATGCTATCAGACGTTCCTTTCCTTGTGCTGGTTTTTTATATTGTGGATTTCTCAGTATACGCTCTGCAGGGTGACATCATTGGGCTGCCAGCTGTAATATACATCACCAGATTTCTACATGTATTGATGATCTACAACTAGCAAAGGCAATCAGTATTGCCAAAGTGACCGCTTTTAGTAGCCAAGTAAAAAAAGATACTTGCATCTAGACCAATAGGATCCTTTGTTGGGTGAAAGGGGCTACTGATCTTTGTTTTAAAGCCAAACTCCAGCCCTTTCTTTCCTATCATGATGCCCATCAAGTAGACAAGAGGTAAGAGGTCTTCCTCCAATTACAACTGATATATAAAACCTAGACAAAGGTGTAACGGAACCGGACCCCGACTGCACTAGGGTATTTCCGTTAGGCTCCCGCTTCCCTGTCCGAACACAGATCCATGGACACCACCGCTGACCATATGAGACAGCACCAGACTTGTGTTAAAGCAGGACATGGACTGCTTTATTTTAACACAGACACAAGATATATACATTCAAGGGAACAACCCACCTCCCTGCATATGGACACAGGGTGTGGCAAACAAAATCTAGCAACCAGAGACATCAGCAGACACCCCCTCATCAAGCCAATACACAAACACATACAACTCATAATAGTTTGCTCCCAAGCAAGACACACAATAGAACAATGGGACAACCACATGGCATTAAACAATGAACAACCCCCACACCCCACCTATACATGTCTACTCAATAGCAGGACATTTCACCCTGTACCCCTAACAGGCACAGGGTGACTTACAAATAAGAGGGATATGGGGAGCTGAGACAGGGGTCTCCCCACCTCTCCAAAGGGGGCTGTGTTCCATGGGTCCCCCACCCAAAGTGACTGCCGTGACAAAAGGCTTCAACGCTTCCCGACTCCCGTGCAAAACAGGGAGTTGGGCCGTAAAATAGAAGTATGGCCGGGCTCTGGACATTGAACTACAGTTGTGCTCAAAAGTTTGCATACCCTGGCAGAAATTGTGACATTTTGGCATTAATATTGAAAATATGACTGATCATGCCACAAAATGCTCTTTTATTGAAAGATGATGATCATATGAAGCCATTTATTATCAAATAGTTGTCTGGCTCCTTTTTAAATCATAATGATAACAGAAATCACCCAAATGGCCATGATATTCAAGGCTTTGGACATCTTTTTATGTCCTTTTCCATCTTTATAAAGTTCCATTACCTTGTTACGCAGGACTTTTGACAGTTCTTTTCTGATCCCCATGGCTCAGTATCTAGCCTAGTCAGTGCTTCCATGTAAGAGCTAACAAACTCATTGACTATTTATACACTGACACTAATTGCAATTTAAAAAGCCACAGATGTGGGACATTAACCTCTAATTGGCATTGTAACCCGTGTGTCACCTTGTGTGTCTGTACCAAGGCCAAACATTCCAGGGGAGGGAAACTTTTGATCATGGCCATTTGGGTGATTTCTGGTGTTATTATGATTTAAAAAGGAGCCAGACAACTATTTGATAATAAATGGCTTCCTATGATCATCATCCTTCAATAAAAGAGCATTTTGTGGCATGATCAGTCATATTTTCAATATCAATGTCAAAAATTCACTATTTCTGCCAGGGTATGCAAACTTTTGAGCACAACTGTATTTACAGATTCTCATCAAAAACAATTAAAAATGCTTTCAAACAAGATTTCACTCACCTCTGTATTTTCAGTACCTGTGGAGTAATTCATCTTCAATCCCTTTCATTAATCCTCCATCCATCCTTTCTCTCAGAAGAGCTATTTGCACCCAGCTGCCAACAGTCCATTCGCAATACTCCCGGCGTACAGGTTCCTGAAGGTGGCTGTGTTGGACGGTGCTGCAGTGACCACAGGATGGGAACCATGCAGTCGACCCTCAATGCAAAAAAATGTCACCAGCACACCAAGAAAGTGGAATTTTTAAAAAGGACGTTCCCATGCTATGGATGAAGAAGTAAGATGCGGCCCAAAACACAACTATGGTTGTAGGTAAGAAATAAGGAATGTTATTAGGTTTTTTTAAAAAATATATACATTTTGATTAGCTAGAGGTGGGTGGAATGTGATGGGAAGATCAGGTTTTTTTTTATTGCTCGGAGTTAAGTAGACCTATGTCCAGGCTATGGAATTCAACTATATACATATTCTTTACAAGTCTTAAACCGCCATAACACAAGAAAAATGTTGGTGGTCACATGGTACATACAAAGGCCTTTTGTATGTACCATGTGACCACTAGATAAAGCTTTGGACTCGTCTGAG